ATCTTGGCGCACGAACATCTTGACACCACAGTGCACGAACTTCATGCCTTGCTTCTCATTCGCGGTCAAGATGTCGCGGGCCAGAGAGCTGGTGTAGTAGATAGTGCGAGCTGGGATTGCCTCGGCGTTGCGCACCATGAAGCGGTCCCGAGGGAAACGATCAGAGATCTCGTAGAACTTGTAGATCGGGTCGAGCTCTTCCTGGTTGGGGTCCAGATACTTGAAGGGCTCTTCGATTGGCTGACCGTTCTTGCGCTTCTGGGGAGCAGCCTGCGGCTGAGCCTCTGCGGGGGCGGGTTTCGCGGACTCAGCAGGCGCAGGAGTCGCGTCAGAAGTCTCCATGTTATCGGACTCCACGACGGGCGCAGGCGCATGAATAGGGCGGTCTCCCAAGACAACTTCGGAGCCGTCTTCGAGCTTCGTCCTCTTCGCCGGAAGCTCGTCTTCCAGGCTGTCTGCATCCCTCTTAGCGGGAGAGATCTGGTCAGTAGCAGAGTAGGGGATCTGATGGGTAGCCTGCGCAACGGATGCGTTCTTTTCGGCTTCCTTCTCAGCCTCCTGGTCAGGAGCAACCAGGTCGTCCAACGCGCTGATCTTTTCCAAAGGCTGACCGTCTCCATTCTTCTGCTTGAAGTCAAGCTCTTCCGTAAGGGCAGCAATGGAAGCCTTGGGGATGACCTTGGAGGAGTCCTCGGGTTTGGCACGAATCTCAGACACCTTCTCCAGAACGGTAATGAAGAAGCCGCCAGTGTCTTGCATGTGGGGGTAGATACGGAGACACCTGTCGAGGGGGAGATCCTCGGTGGGGGGGAACATGCCCTCAGCAACCCGGCCAAGGCCGCTGATTCCCTCGCGCTCCTTGCGCTCTTCAACCTCCTTCCAGCTGTTGTACATGCGACCCTCACGGTCCATGACCTTCCATGTCTTCAAGCCAGGGGCTCTCTTCAGTCCCGGAAGCTCATTGCTGCAGTCGAGAATGCGGACATTGGCAGAGCCGCAGCGCTCCAAAGCGCTGGCAATGACGGCCTCGTTCTCGATAGGGTTCATACTGCAGGTGGAGTAGACCACACGGCCACCGACCTTCAGCATCTGCAGAGCGCGGACAAGGATCCGAACCTGAGTGGCGTACAATCCCAAAGCGTTGTTGTAGTTCCAGTCCTTCCAGACACCCCAGTTCTTTCTCGCCGTTCCATCACCGGTGCAAGGCACGTCAGCCAGGATGCGGTCAAACTTGAGGTATTTGTTCTTAACGGGCTTTCCTTCGGGAGCGGGCTCCGGAGGCAACCTGATCGAAGGGAACATCGTGGCATCGTGGTTCGTCACGATCAAATTGGGCGAGCTCAGTCGCTTCATCTGGTGGATCAGCATGTGGGCGCGCTTGTAGTCGGCGTCGTTGGCGATCAGCAAGCCGGTGGTTCTGCCGTCGTCACCCAGACCTTCCGGTCCCATAGGTTCGGCGGAAGCAGTTCCCTCAGCCACCTTCGCGGTCACTTGTTGCATGGATTCCTCCTCGCCGGCGTGGATCATCTCCATGAGCTGTGCGGACTTGCTACCAGGGGCAGCGCACATATCCAGAACGGTCATGCCGGGCTTGACGTCAAGCAGAAGAGGGGGGATCATGCTGACCACCTCCTGTCTGCTGATGTTGCCGACTTCGGTCTCGGCGACGAGGAATTTCTGGAACGAAGCGAAGGGGGCGAAGCGGCGAACAACCTGCTTGGGGGTGGTCATGGACCAGGCGAGTTGGTCGGGATACCAGGGAACGGGACGAGGAGGCTCGACATCTTTGCCCTCATACTTGATCGAAGTGATTTCGGGGATGTAGAAGTTCTTGAGTTTCTCCTGGACAGCTAGCGCATGGCTTGAAGCAAATGTTAGTTGCATTGGATCCAATCGCAAGAGCGCTCATCGTTCAGCGCGAGAAAAATGACGTACCCTCGTGACCCAGTGAAACGGAAGCTGTTCGGGAGATCTCTCCTAATGGCCTCCCAGAAGGCCTCCCTCTCCTCCTCGGGGATAAATCCCTGTTCGTTGTAGTAGCTTTCGAACTTGGCATTTTCCCTGGCGACTTGCTGCCAGTTTTGGCGTTCGCGACCGCCGCCGCCCTGCCGAGATAATGAAGTTAGTCTCCGCCCACGATGGAAATCTAATGCAAAATTGACGAGATAGAAATGATCTTTTAGACATGGAGATCGTCTCACATACCTTCTTTCCGCGCTTACCCATGGTGATCAAGATTAATTGCGATGCGAAAGAACCAGGTGAGCTTCGCAATTTCTCCGCTGCAGAAATCAATCCATCGCCAATCGCGCCTCAATCCGCCCGCCATTATGTAAGCACATCCCGCCATGGAACATCCTCGGGCCGGTACACTAACCAGATGTAGTTAGCCCGTCAACTGGATGGATTCGCCAGTTGATGATCACTCGAAAAGCACAGTCAAGAGACCGTCTTCGGAGCAATGGCCAGCTGCATGAAATCAATGCTAATATGTAAAGGAACTTTGGACTCCGAATGTATATATATCTACGACCATGTCCGGTGTTGAGTCATAATCACCGATCTGGACGGAGTATGTAGCAGGAAGAGCATCTGTATAGTGCTTCAAGAGCACAGCAGGATGGAGACAATTCCAGGCGCCACTCAGGCCAGCCAGACTCATTTCGTTATGCTCCGAAGATCCTTGGCCTTATCAAATGCTGTCGGCCAGTTAATGTGTGCATGTAGCCCTTGCATTGATTGGCGTCAATATTTCCTATGCCAGCAAAGCAATCACCGCCTCAGATGCGGGCGTGCTTCTTAAGCGGCCATTGTCCGGAGGGCTCGAATCCGTAGGAACTCAATGTGATCTAAATGTGCAGCTCCATCGGGATAAGAAGATGGATACAGAGTTGTCGGTCTACTCTACATTTTCCGAGGAAACTACCGAGCAAGAAGATGATAGTACATACTACCCAGAGGGAGGTCTTCAAGCATGGCTGGTGGTCTTCGGCGCATGGTGCGCCATGGTCCCGGCCTTGGGCTTGATGAACACCGCAGGAACAATCCATATCTGGACCAGTACCCATCAGCTCAGAGACTACCCAGAGTCGAGCTATGGCTGGATATATGGTGCATATGGATTCTTCCTTTACTTTGCAGGAGCCCAAAGTGGTTCGTATTCATCCAAGTCAAGCCTTGAGGGGTGGCAGGCTAACAACTTCATTGAATATTATAGGGCCAATCTTGGATACATGGGGACCAACCTACATCATTATCCCAGGGTCCATCGGCATGGTAGTGTCGTTGGTATGCTTTAGTGTCAGTAAAGGTAATGTTTCATATAGGCTAGGAGCATCGGCACCGCATTGACAATGTGCAGAATACTATCAGATATTTCTCTCCTTCAGCGTCTTGGGAGGAATATCGGCAAGTGCTCTGTTCACTCCAGCTGTTGCAGCAATCGGCCATTGGTTCAATGTCCGTCGAGCGTTTGTCACTGGACTTGCTTGCACAGCAGGCGGGCTCGGAGGTGTGATTTTCCCTGCAATCATTTACTTCAATGCGCCAAAGATCGGATTTGGCTGGTCGATTCGGATTATTGCACTCTTGAGCCTTGTACTTTGTGCTATCGCTTGCCTCTTGATTAAGACCCGGTTACCCCTCGGCAAAGAAACCGGAGGCAGTGCGCTGGCAGATTTCAGAGCACTGAAAGATCCCAAGTACGCCGTCACCGCACTCGCAATCTTTCTGGCTGATTTCGCTGTGTTTGTGCCAAACACATACCTGTCTTCATATGCAGTCCACGTCGGCTTGAGCAACACAGTGTCATACCTGTTGCTTGTCTTCCTGAACATCGGACTGATCCCTGGCCGTCTGCTACCGGGCCTAGCTGCTGATCGATTGGGAAGGTTCAATATGATGGTCGTCACCTCCCTCGTATGCTCGATACTGACGCTTGCATTGTGGTACAAGGCTGGTAGTAGCTTAGGCGCCATTGTCTGCTATGCCGTATTGTTTGGCTTCTGGAGCGGAGCTGCTATGAGTTTGTCCCCGGTCTGTATCTCGCAGATCTGTGCAACCGAGGAGTATGGAGCGCGAACTGGCACGACGTATACCATCGCCAGTCTTGGAGTGCTCACGGGGATTCCAATCGCGGGTGCGATCATCCAGCACGATCATGGGCAGTATGGTGGGCTCATCATCTTCGCGGGGGTGCTGTATCTTGCAGCTGCTGCAGTGTTTGCCGTGGCTCGGGGGATTTGCAGGGGTTGGTCGTTGAAGACCCGGTTCTAACCAGGTTTAATCGCTCGGAGAAGAACTTACCCAGTCTCAGCCATTCCGGGCCTGCCTCGTGCGTGGCTCAGCAGGGCTGAGTGGAAGCACCACTGCGATAAGCAGGGTGGTATACATGAAAACAGGTAGTGCGGAGTTCAAGCATCAGCTTCCTCTTCCGTTGTTTGCTTTTGTTGACAGGTGGAAGGTTCCGTACAACCGAAGCAAAATCATCCTTCTGGGTGACATTGTGCCCAAGGAGCATACCAACGCGTTAGTTCCCTGGCTAGTGCCTGGCATCCTTGTCGAACTCAGCTCGGCGAGTTCAGCGGTCTGGTTGTTGAGCCTCCATCACCGTGTCAGTAGCAGTCACAATCCGCCAAAGAAGTCACTGTAGCCTGATTACCCGCACGATCAATCTACCTAGTGTGTCGTTAGTACTGTTAGACCAAGCTGTGGGGGCACCAATACCTACCATGCTAGTCACCATCATCCCAGCACATAAAATAGAAGCCGTAGCTGAAATGAGGATTAATTAAATGAAATGGCCAAGCAATGCACCCTGTGCGATTGTGGCAGTGGCTGAAACCATTTCGACCCGAAAAACAGGGGCTCCAGAAAAGCTTAGATTTCATTGTTAGTCTCATATCCAGTTGCTAAGATTGTTCACATGGATAGACGGACCCTATCTAGGCAGAATCGACGCCCAGGCCGCGGTCAGCCAGCGAGCGAGCCATGATCGCGATCCACGCCCGTGTTTTCCCTCCCGCGGTCCCCTAATCACACGATCTTGTTACCTAAACATCCACCCTTCAACCTTCCCATGTCTCAGCCTTCAATACGAACTACCATCTCTTCTTCCGGAATTATTCACCGCGCATCCTCATAGAACACTTTTATCTACCTCAAGCCAAGAAACCAAGAAAACCTAAAACGCCCCCTTACCCTCATGACTGCCGTAGCCCTCGCTTACGCCCTGACAACCCCGACACCCATGTGTTTGAGGTTGCTGTTGGCCCCCAAACCAAAGGGCCAAAACCTGCGAAGTAGAGATAGACAGCCACTACTAAAGTCGTCTAAATTAATTCCTTGGCCCGATCCTAATTCATCTAAGCCAAATCATACCAATCAGCCTCAGCCAGCGGGCGGCCCCTTGGATTCCCTGTCCTTACTTTATACTACTTAGTCTAGTGCGTGTGGATGGATAGACGATCAACGGCTGTCTGTTTTGGTTTACCTGAACGCCAACTAACGCTAATGCAAGGCTGTGTTCGTGTGTGGAGTCTGTCCTGGGGCTGATTTTCATTTTTTTTGAGCTTCGTACCCTTTATTTGAAAATTTTGTTTTCTAGTTGCTGTCAGTGCCATGGGATTTGCATCGCCCCCATGCAAGATTGGGCGTAGGAAGATTGGGCGTAATTATCCAGAGACAGAAGTTAGTGAGTTATAGGGGGGTTTGGACAAAAGTTATAAGACCCCGAGGAGGTGCTTTGCTGACGGTGGTTCGAGATTACTTTCTTTCTTTCATTCATTCTCTATTATATTAACATACACGATCTTATTTTGAATCTATACATTCGTTCAATTGTTTCCTTCTCATACAACAAGATACCCTTATAATTACCTCTCGTTCACCACAAGTTCCATTACCTCCTCACCACCACAACCACACGTACTTAAAACAGATAATCAATCAAAATGGGTGAAGGTCAAGAATGGTCCTCCAGCTTCTGGGACTGCTGCTCCCCCTGCGGCACCTGTACGTCCCCATTCCCCCTCCCCTCTCAACAACCCCCAATTCCCCCCAAAACTAACCAAATATACTTACACAATGAACAGGCTCCCTCGCCTTCTGCTGCCCCTGCTGCCTCCACGGCCGCACCAGTTCTCGTCTCGAAGACCCCACCCTGAAAGACGATAGCATGATGAACGGTGGTGTACGTCCCCTATCCCTAATACTATACAGCCAAACCCATCCTTCCTCCTATAACAACCAATTTGATACTGAATACTGATATTGTAATGTAATGCAGTGCTGCGTTTACTTCCTTCTCGCTTACTGCGGCTTCCACTTCATCCCATTGATGATGAAGCGCACCCAAATCAGAGAGAAATTCGGGCTTGAGGGGTCCGGATGCGGGGACTGTATGCGGTCGTTCTGCTGCCCGTGCTGCACGCTCATGCAGCATGAGAAGGAATTGGAGAGTCGGGCGGCGTTGTTGGAGGGGCCTGGTGCGCAGCAGGGGTATAAGGCTCCCGCGGGGATGGAGTATCAGTGATTTGGTATTGATTTTGATCTTTTTTTGTTTTGAGTGGATAGTAGGCTTCGTGTAGGAGATGATTAGGATTTTTGGATACTTGGTGTTGTTGGTGTTCTTTGTTCTGGTTGTTAATTTCTCTGGAGTGAAAAATATAAGTGGCTGTTACCTGACTGGGGTGTTTTACATGCAAACTGAAACTAAACAAATACATTTTGATATAGCGACAGTTGTGTACTGTACATGACACGCTCCTTCGGGCACGACCACCGCTTCTATCTATTAGAAAATCACCAAAACAAGAAAACACGGGCCATAAATCTTCTTCTGCTTCTCCTTCTTCTCTCACTCGCACACTCTCAAACCACTTTCATGAGCTCTCCCTTTTTACAGAGAGTTGCGGCTCATGTCCGCACGGATACGGTTGTAGTCCAGGACGGCCTCGATGCTGCCGACAGCGCTCATGGCAATGTCCTGATCCCACAGCTTGCGGGAGGCGAAGTCCATGACGTCCTTCTCGGTGATCTGGCCGATCGTGCGCTCAATGTCCTCGGGGCTGAGGCGACGGCCGGTGGTAATGATCTGGCGACCAATGTCTTCGGCAACGGCGGTGGTGCCGTCCAGGGAGAGGAGGATGGAGGCCTTGAGCTGAGCCTTGGCGCGCTCAACCTCAGCGGAGGTGACGTTGTAGCTCAGGCGGGACCATTCACGGAGGGTGAAGTGAATGAGGTCCTCGAGGCGGGTGACGTTCTCGGAGGTCAGGTAGATACCCCACAGACTGTGTTTCAATCAATTAGCGAACCTCCTAGAAAAGCAAACAGTAAATAACATACCCAGTGTCGCTGTAGCTGGTGGAGAAGCTCATGAAGCTGTTGGCAAGGCCGTGGTACTCAACGAAGGAGCTGAGCTTGCTGCCAAGGTAGGAGGAGTTACCCATGGCACGGTCCCAGTTACCGACGATGGCCTGGGTGACGAGAGCGGTGAAGTAGTCATCATCCTTCCAGCTGACACCCTCGACGGCAAGGGCAATGTGAGCAGTGGGGAGAGTGTCGTCACGGATTCTGACCTCGGAACCGATGAACTCGGGGGTACGCTTCTGCTCAGCAGTGAGGGCCAGGGCAGCAGAGGTCGGGGGCTTGCTGGGGAGGCCACCGAAGTGCTCCTCAGCGAGTCTCACGAGCTGCTCGTGGGGGATACCACCGGCACCAACGAGGACCATGCGGTCAGCAGTGTAGTTGGTCTTGATGTAGTCGACCAGGTTGTCACGGGAGATGGTCTGGATGTTCTGCTTGGGGCCGAGGATGGTGCGACCGAGGGGCTGGTTCTGGAAAGCAGTGGCGTGGAGGTGGTCGAAAACAACCTCCTCGAGCTGCTTGTCGACCTCCTCCTGCTCACGGAGGATGACGTCGCGCTCACGCTCAATGGCAGTGGGCTCCAGCTTGGAGTTCTGAAGGATATCGGCGAGGATGTCGACGGCCTTGGGGACATCGTTGTTGAAGGACTTGGCGTAGTAGACGGTGTTCTCGCGCTGTATTTATGCGGCGTTAGTTGCGATCCAAGGGAATTGATTCTTCCATGTTTCCGGGCCGTACCGATGTGTAGGCGTTCAGGTGAGCGCCCATGTTCTCGATCTCGAGCTCCAATTGGTGCTGGGAACGCTTGTTGGTGCCCTGGTAGATGTCAGCAATTGCATTTCCAAGCCTTCAATTTGCAATTTAAATATACCTTGAAAGCAAGGTGCTCCAGGAAGTGCGCGGTTCCGTTGGTCTTGTCAGTCTCTGCCCGGCTACCGGCATCGATCCACACGCCAACAGTGGAGGTCTGAGCCCATGGGGAGTACTCAGTAGCGATCTGAGGCAAGTCAGTGAGTTCCTTGAGCCATTGAGATAACCCATTCGGCGTACCGTGAAACCGTTGGAGAGAGTGGTGGACTGGGTGGTGGAAGGCAAGGTGACCGGGGAAGCGAAGCCACGCTTGACGGGCTGGATGGCCTTCAGGGCGGCCTTGCTCCGGAGAGCCTGGTTAAGGTTGAACGCTAGGCGCCGAGAAGCCATTGTGTGAAGATGGAGGTGGGTTGGGGGGAAGGAGGGAGGAATGAGGAAGGGTGCAACAAGACGGTCAGGTCAGCCTTGGAGATGCGAGGTTGAAGTTCGGGAGTCAAATTGTTCGCCCATCCGCCAGCCAATCACATGACCCGCTTTTCCAAACCACCGCATTCGCTCCGACTGTTCCCTAGCTTCTTTTGCTTAGACAGTTTGTTGCTACCAGCACAGTCTGGAGACCGCCATTCAAAACTGTACAAACATCAATCAAAGCCAGACAGGGCCTATACTAATCTTAGACATCAAGAATCAGATACCAATCTTCTACTTTGATACTCCCTACACTTATTACTACATATCACATGACTCCACTATTCCCAATGCAGTTAACCTCCATACAATGAGTCCAAATAGCATATGAATCAATTACTTCCACTACTGCCGTCACCACTGAATACAATCTAGACTACTCACTCCCCAAACTCTTCGCATACATCTCTACATTCTCCCTCATCGACACATCCCCCACAAACCCCAACTCCAACGCCCTTTTTGTATCAAAATTGGGCGTCCACGTCTGCACAATCCGATCAACATCCTCATCATATCTCTCCTCCACCAAGGCCCTCTTCTCCTTCCCACCAATACTCTCCAACGCCTCCAACATCTCCGCAATGCTAACCTTCAACCCAGGCAAATTGACCGCTCTCGAGTCCCCAAACTTCTCCGCCGGAATCTCCCTCGCCTTCACCAAGTTCCTCACCACCGTCGCAGGCGAACAAATCCACATCTCCGTCTCCTTAGCAACTGGCAACACCGCAGGTCGGCCATTAAACGGCTCCCGAATGATATCACTCGCGAAGCTACTCGCCGCCTGCGTCGGCTTCCCCGCCCTGACAGTAACAGTGGGGAGGCGGACAGCACGACCATCCAGGAACCCGCGACGGGAGTAGTCATTGAGCAGCGTCTCGATGATGAGTTTCTGGGATCCGTATGACGAGGACGGCACGGCGGGGAAGTTACTCTCGTTAATGATGTAGCCTGGTGGGGCGAGGCCGTATACTGCCAGACTGGAGGTGAAGACGACTTTCACGCCGGGGGTGACGGTGCGGAGGCGGTCGAGGATATAGCGGGTTGCGTCGAGGTTGACGCGCATTCCTAGTTCAAAGTTGGCTTCGGATCCGCTGGACATGATGCCGTGAAGGAGGTAGATGGTGTCGTAGCGGTTGGTGGAGGTGATGAGCGTGTCGACTACGCTTGGGTTCGTGAGGTCTGCTTCGATGCATTGTGTGCGAGAGGCATGTTGGGCTGCGCTCTTGGGGACCGTGGGGAGAACGACGTCTGTGAGTGTTACTGTCGATGATGGGAGGGTGGTGAGGAGGGCTGCGGCGAGTTCTTGTCCAACGTAGCCGCTGGCTCCCGTAATGAGTATGGACATGTCGAGTTGTAGTTGTAGTTTGGTAGCTGTGTTGTAGGTAGTAATGTGAGTGGGTTGCGGTAGCCTGGATTTCTGAGGTAAGTGATAGTGAAGTCACATTATACAACTTATATAGTCAAGGCAGTCAGCCTGCTGCGGGGTTGAGCGGAGACTTTACCACAGCTACTGTGGTGGCAGTCTTTCAATTGCCCCCATCCCGAACGAAAAGTCCCTCAATCATCGTGAGATCGCTCAAGATGAAGCCTCTCATTAGTCGAACGTCATGGATCCACGCAGCAAGTCCGATTCGTGGAATCTGATGAGGCATTTCGGTCTGTTCTCCGCTGAACGGTCCGAGTGCCGAGATGTGGGCAGAAAGCGGATGGCCGGGGGAAGTCCGAGATAGATCAACGTACGATGGGCTATGAAAATCGTCTAGCAACTACACTTTGTTTTACACAAAAGAATGGTGAATCATTGACCAGCTTAATTAGCAGCTAAATTCTTGAACGACCAGAAACCGTAAACCTCGAAATTTTCTGACTCAAGAAGTACATCTAAGAAACCTGGACATGAGGACACACAAGGAAAAAATCGAAGAAAATTGCAACAGATCACGGAACACTCGACGCCGTATAAAGGGGAAGCATAAGTAATTATGACATGAGAGAGACAAAAGAGCAAAAACCACCGGATTCTTTTTGTTTCTTAAATTCATGCAGAGCGCTTGTAGATACCAGACACTATACAGTGGTCACGTTCGAAAGGCTCCAGGGTCAGCTGTTCCCTGGGCTTGATCCGCTCCTCTCTCATCTTCTGGACTTCACGAGCGAACACAACCTCGGGCTTAGCGGTACTGTCGATACAGTTGGCCTTGACGGAGACAATGACACCACCGCCCTCCTTGAGGAACATGTGGGCGTTCAGGCCGACAATACGGGCCTGGTCGGGCTGGGCAACATCGGCGAAGATGACATCGACCATGGGGACGAGCATACGGTAACGAAGAGGGTGTCTGGCGTCCTCGACGATGGGGATAACGTTGGTGCGGTGGGTAGCCATGCCGATCAAGTCACGGCCGGAACGGTGGGAGAACTCAACGGCGTAGACGTTACCAGTAGGTCCGACGATATCGGCAACGTGACTGACGGAGGTACCGCTGGCGGAACCGAGATACAGGACCTTGGAGCCAGGGCGCATGTAGATGTCATCCAGACCACCCAGGATACCGGCAGCCAACTTGGAACGGAAGGGGTTCCAGACACGGTATTCGGTCTTGGTCACAGTGCCATCCTCCTCAGCGGGGGACTCGACAGAGATGCGCTTCTCACCGTAGACGGCCTCTCCGGGAGTAAGGTTCTTGGTGACGAGCAAATCTTCCTTACCACCACGGGCGACGAAGACACCAGCGTGACGGTGGGGTTCCTAGACGAATCCCGGTTAGAGTCCATCCAATGTTTTTCTTCTCGATCGATTTAACAGGAAACACCTACAATGATGACCTTAGCACCACCCTTGGCACCCTTAGCACCGCCGCGACCACCGCCGCGAGGACCACCACGGCCACGGGGGGCACCACGACCACCGCGGGGAGCACCACGGCCACCGCCGCGACCACGACCACCGGCACCAAGACCGCCTATAGAACGTGCAAAGGTTAGCGACATGTTCTTTTTCCGTGAAGGGATAACCGCAGTTCCGGCACGCGAATCGAGTCGCTCATATTGGAAAACCTGATATGCTCTGGGACAAGAACGAGGTTCTCCGTCACAAGAAGCAAGCAAGTTCCAACATGATCGACAACAACAATGCGAAAAGATCACATATGCCTGCCTGCCACGTTTCTCCCAAGATGAAATCAATCGATGGTGAACAAACCTCTACCACCACGGCCGCCACCACCTCCACGAGGAGCACCACGGCCACCACGGCCACCACCACCACGAGGACCACCGAATGCCATTGTGATATGTGTGATTTAAATCGAAAAAGGTCGACGAAGACGTAAAGTCCAAATGCTCTCAGTCCAGAAAAATGATCGGACTGATGCTTCGATTCTTCGGTTGCGGTTTAACCGGAGAATAGGAAAAAGAAAAATTGGCAAGGAAGGCCCGTTCGGGAGAAGGAAAATCCGGAATTGTCGAGTCTCGAGGACCTTGAATAGAAGCTTTTGCAAAAAAAATCGCACCCGCACTGGCGTTCAGTGTTCGGTCGAGGCCGTGCTGTTTGTCGTTGTTGCGGTCGAGATTTTTCAGACGGAGCCTTGGATTCTTTCGAAATTCAGTCTGCGCTAGGCCCCGTTGGGTGCTAGCGCGGCTTGCTGCTGTGGGCACTTGAGGCACGTGATCGCGCTGGATAGCGAGGTCACCTGACGCTGGCCAGCCCTGCCAATCGGAAGGCGCATCGCTCTTCTCTGACGGCTCGGCGCTTAAGACTGACTCTCAACAGTTGCAGGGTTGACAGCTACGCTACCTAATGGGCCAGAATTACGCGCTACCGATTATTCTACTATGATGTATAAGTGAACCTGTCATGAAAAATTGTCTCATTTCCATCTATTAACAGTGCAACTGCTCTGTACATCACCCGCCGTCATGCACCATAGAAATAGTAATTGGCCGCATACTGAACAGTGAACACCGACTGCATCCCCTGGCAGGTCTTCGGAGCTGAACCGGCAACCGTGTCTACTCGATAAACCGCTTTATACTCACCGACTGTACCATTGATAGTGGTCAGGTAAAGCCACTGGACAGCCCCATTGCTACCCTGAATAGCACTCGATGGAGCATCAAGCGAGTCTTGTTTCTTCGTGATCGCAATCCCATACTGCCGAGATGGCAAAGTATCCAGATTAAAAACCGGGGTAGTCGTATCTCTGAAGAAATGGTGACCCAAGAGTTCAAGGTTCGCCGGCGGGAGGGGATCCTCCTCGTTACTGGGCAACTGTTCCTTGTACACTATACCCGGGAGTAACGACAACATGTCCGGGTAATTGGCCGCGATGCAGGTCGCGTTGTAAAGACGCGCCACTGCACCTATGGCTTGGGGCGTTGAGTCCGAGGTCGAGGTGGCACAGGTGTAGTTCTAAGGAGGGGCTTGTCAGTTCGGCCGGGGGTCTCCCCCTGCATTGACTGTGTGACAGTAGGCGGGTCTGCTTCTGCTTACCTGGGTGCCACGGCCGACTGCCACATAGATCGGACTCAATCCGGATGGTGAGGGCAGGCTGGACGCGTATGATGGAAGAGAAATTTTGGATGTATCGCATGAGTTGGCGCTCTTAATGAGTTCTTCTCCCGTGCTCTCGATGTACTTGCTCACTTTTCCGAGGTAGGTGGCTAAGTCCGACGAATAGTCGTATATGTCGTTGAGGAGGGTTGGCGCTGCCATGGAGCCTGCTGTCAGGCAGCCCAGGAGAAAGAGGTTCGCACGCATTCCGGATGCTTGATACAAAGTTGATGTATGAGGAGATGGTGGCAAGTTCAAAGATAGCATACAATGCGAGTATTGAAATTGGAAGCTCAAGGACAAATGCTGAATGGTAACTCAGAAGAATAATAGCAATTGTGAAGAGTTGAAGGAGAGAAAAGGAAGAGTAGAGCACTCTTCTTGAGCACTGACTATAGGATGGCTGGAAACCTGAAGAGAAAAAAAGGAGGATGTATCCAGCTGGAAGAAGGGCTATATAAGAATTATTTCCAACAGACCGACAGCCACAAGAAGAAGGCTTGCATGTGCAATCAAACGCAGTACCGCACCCGGCTCTTGAAACCCAGAATGTTGTATCTATTAACAGCCTCGACTCACAGCAAGCCTGAAGGCGCCCACAGCACGCACAAGCAATCCGATTCTCCCATTGGTGCAAGAATGGGCGCCAGGCATGAATCCTTCACGCCTCCAAAGTGCCGAAAGTAACGGTATACGAGGATGGGCCACGCGAAACACGGTCGTCTACCCTGGCGACTATTTCTGCAGAAGATAGAGTCGTTGGCGAGCCGTGATTGGCATATCGAACGATCGAAGCCTTTTCGGCTAACCCTGTCTAGTGACAGGGTTTCATTGGCGCTGACTGTTTAAAAAATGTCCGATCGCCTTTCACCCGCTATTAATAGAGCAGCCCTAATATCTCACCGTGAGGGGGTCGGCGCTTAGCGTACTAGAAGCTTGCCAATGCCGGTTAGCCTGCAGATTCCCGTCCACCTCCCCCATGTACAACTTGTCGACTACTAGTCTATCTATCCACCCCCAGGGTGTGTGTCCACAACGTGATTCGACAAATCGACGGTCGCTGTAGGTGCTGGTTATTTTTGGAAGATCCTTTCGCAGCAGGGATTATCACGGCTTATTATAAGAGAGGCCTGTGCTCGACGCTTAGCTACGCTTCAGCTGTAGGGCAAACGGCTGTTATCTTCGACTTGGCCATTGTTGAAGTTGAAGCTGAGGTTGATTATTACCATTTCTAACTAATTTCATGAAGTAATATGCTTCATCAGTGTTGTTTTCTGAATCGAAGCAGGTACCCATCGGACCTGACACATTAGACGACCTCGTGGAGATACCACCCGCACCCCCCATACAGCACATGCAAGACGCAGGATGGCCCATCCCCGTTGTGGGAAAGTAACTCTACCTCCTTCCGACAGGGATCATAGATTAAATGAAATAAAAATAGGAACGGTGGACTCTATACCGGCCAAGTAAGGTTACTAGTCGCAATCTCGAAGCATCTCACGTCACAAGGTCACTATTCTGAGTCTCATGGAAGCTATTGCCGATCATAACTCGGTCACACTTCGATAGATACCACCAATGACGGCATAAGAGCGTGCAAAGATAACCAAAATTTCGAGAAGAGATGCTGGTACTCGTCCTTGTAAGCTCCACCGGAAAGGGAACCCCACGGCTTGTTGATGCCTTGAGTTCCCCCCTCTATCAAAAGCAATTCTGGCCCTAACACAGATGAGTTGATCTTACCATCAATGCTTCTAGACGTCTACTGATTCATAATCAAAACAGATGCAGGACTGACAGTACGCCTATACCCACAACGGCCATCCTTGAACCGAATACTACCCTCTTATCAGATATAGAACGAGGTCTCGGACACCATTAGCGGCATTTTCCGCTTTCCCTGAGCGAATCCCCAAAATAGTGAAGCTAGTCTCAGCTCCGCAGTCATCTCACGACTAGTCCACGACTCTCGGTGTGATACCTCCAGCCTGCAGCATACTTGCCACCGTCTCCGCGACGGATCATCAGCTCCTCGGGTCATTTGAACCATGTCCGAAACCGTGAAGGTCCTCGCTATCACCTTTCTCCAACCTTTTACCCGCTCTATCCGAGTAGGCATCCACTTCTTCCCCCCTGTAGACGAAGGTGACATCGATAGACTACGTAAATAGTAACGTACAGGACACCAACTCCCAAACCGACACGGACAGACGGAGCTGATACTCAACGAAATGTAACAAAATCGCGCATGATTGCCAATGTCCTCTCCACGTAGACGGCAAGACCGAAGACCGAAAGCTCTCCTCAAACCCACGGATGTAGAAAACCACACTATGTATGCACGCGAAGTCACAAAAGGCGTTATCCCCGAGAAATAGCGCATGATACGTGGGGGTTAGCAGGGAAGACAGTGGTAGGGCTATTTTGTTAAGATAGAGAGACATGCGAGTAGACGAAAGTAGAATCCCAAAAGGGCAGTCATACGGATGTGACGGAAGCTCTCAATGTTCCCCTTTTCTGTCAATCTCAAGTGAGCAGTCGATCTGTTTGGAGTCTATCGGTGGGAGTCCACACGCGGTTTGCTGAACCACTGGGGCTTTTCTGTGCGCTTCAAAAAGTTGAGTCTTTGGAGGCCCACATTTCGTTAGGCCTTTCTGCTTTTCATTGTAGTGCCCGTCTGAATTTCTTGTCCAGTTCCCTGAATTTGAGATTGTCTAAGATATTATCTCAGTATCATCTAGCCATCACTCTTGGTAGGTCCTATTAATCCCGCGATGTTGTCCGGGGAACTCGGACAGGATGTGGCCGATAGGAACCGGTTGGTATGTTGCCAACGCTTTTTCCAGTCTTCTTGAAAATTCTATTTTTGGCATTTGGCCCTTGTAATTGGTAAGCATTAATTCCGAAAGGCCCTAACAACTTTCACGGGATGGGCTTACCACTGGCGAAGAGCATGGAAAGTATTCCTTTGAAGGATATCTTCCTTGAGCTACCATCACAAGGTTGCTCTCGGGTCATTGAGCTGCCGTGGGTATAACGAGGCAGCTACTACCCACTTGGCAGGCGTGCCAAATCCTTCTGCCACTTCTGCTGCTCACTAATCTCCAATGTCATTTGATGTTTTAGCTTGTTAGAGAAGCTGTAGTGTCAATTGGAGCTCAGTCAGGTACATTTGAATAATTGGCATATCCCAGCATTGCCCATGTTGGGCCATTGTGATACTCGATGCTCGGTTTCAATGACATAAAGACTAACATCCCCAATAGCACATCAAGCCTAGTTGCGAAAATAGTGTTCGGTAGGATACAGGTCATAAGAGGTGTTTCAAGAGGAGTTCTGGGTAAATTTTCGATGTTACCGCTGCCACAGAATATAGAAGGGGCCACCTCGCAGTTTGCCACCATCGACTTCATATTTTTCATGTGCAAGGGTGTTATTTCTCCTCTTCTATTGTAACTATTTTTTTTTCTTTTAGACAGGTTTATTTTGGCAGCTAAGCTGTCTGGAAAACGTAGACGCTGTTGTTCCACATCGTAAGATCATAGATAGTACTGTCAAACTGGATATCGCACTTTGTTTCTGTATATGACTGCAACACTCACTGCAGCATCACAGATGTAACGAATCATACCAAAGGCAGTGGAAGATTCAGGGTTTAATCTCCAATAACTTTCATTGTATAAAACGTTGTTGCTTAGGCTTCTCTACCTTTCCGCAAGAATTATGACTTCTACCTTGATCAGAGGAGCCAAGACGGGCTTGGCTTTGTTCGGTTGTGCTTCTATTAGGAGCGTCAACAATTCCAGTACCTTAATCACTGTAGAATAATAAGTGAGACACCGCAATCTCCCTTCAAAATATCAATCTCATTCTTGTATTGGATGCCCAGTCATCCCGGGTATAGTCATCTAGCGAAGGCTCAGAAGAGTGGAGCAGAGATCTAGTGAACACGGTAAGATATCGATAAGTAGATGGATGATAGCTCAAAAAGGCGAATTGCGGGTTTATATATGTATGTATGGTGGATTCATGGCTTTTAGACCTGATTCACCTGCTTCAGACCGTGAAGCTCCTCTATGACTAGAATCGCAGTGTCAGGCTTGATCCGTCAATAAACTTGATGGATTGAATTGATGAATTGATGCAATTATATGGATATGGTATTGGGTTACTTTCCATAGGAACCTAGCTTAAGGTACTGACATACTTATGGTACGATATCTTGTGGTGTAACTTAGATTCACTTTGCGAGTAGCTCTCTTACTCCCATCGTGTTCGGGAATAGCTTCAGCAAAGACTACAGAAGTGCTGTAGTGGAACAACTGGACTCTAAAGTAGCTGGATTACCTAATAAAAGGCTTCCAACAGTAAATCCAGGTGACACAGCACGAGTAGTCCTTGATTTTACTGCTACGAGTCACAGGTATCTTCGCATGGATAGGGTGCAGGCTGCTGGATGCGTAGAGCTTAATGTCGGAAATTTTAGTAAGATGGAGAGGTTGTCTGCTTGGTGGTTGCATAATCTAACATCATTATTTGACTCGTTAGGTCTCAGTATCCTCTGTTAAGAAATAAACTGGGAATTGTTAGGCCATCTGAGAACCAAATCCCGATTTGGCAGGTTAGGAATAGAGGGTGAGCCCTTCCTTTCAGCTGTCCTGCTGGGATATCAACAATTCCTCGACACTCCCTTGATCCCACCGCATTCCCTCCAATCACATCTATCACGAATACGACCTTCGTTTCCCTTATCTTCATAGCTTATCATTAGTGAACTCTATTGTCATTTATCCAGAACGTTGTTGTCTCTTCAACGAACTGTCAAAGCCCAAATCTGCTCGACATGGAAGGCGAACGGTTTCGACGGAACAATCGCGAGGAAACAGGACAAGAGCGCATCGAAGATGAGAGCATTGGAGGTGGGTTACCCGATATCTCTCACTTGAAACAGCGGGCTAAAGCCATTTCAAGCTTTTAGAACGGAGTTTGGTGAAAGCGACGAGTCATTACCATTATCAATGTCTGATTCTGGGATCAGAAGGCGAACCCAAATCGTCACGGACTTGAGGGACAGACTTGCAGAAGCTACACCAAGTATCATCTTCGAGGATCAGAGCATGCTGCCTGACGACCACAACGCCCATTATCTCTTACACTTTCTGAAACATGGCGAACCTGCTTGGATATCTGATGGTTCTGAACATGAAATGAGTAGGATAATATCCGCATGCTATCGTTGTGCCAGGGAGGAGCGGAGTAAAGGCTCATGGGTGATGGACTATGTCCGACCGATCTTGGACTTGGCCATCAATGATCTGCCCTTGGAGTCGTGGAGCGTGTAAGTCACCGTGCACAATTCGCAGCAAGGGTGGGAAAGCTAATAGACTCGATTGCAGGCAAGCGGAGCCTATGAGGGACAGGTATCGGCCTCAGCATAGTGCCAGAGGCATGTTCAACAGCAACCTTGACTTGGTCGTTGGTGTACCGAAAGAGCCTTGGGGAGAGTCTTTAGGCTCGCTGGGATAGATACCCGCGATAGAGAGCTGAGTCACATCGAGAATGTTCATACAGGGAAAAGGCTACTTGGCCTCGGTGTTAAAGTCAAAGGGCTTGATGGTACTGGTGCTGAAGCTCAGGCACAATTGGGAGTATGGATGGCTGGTCTAATGTCTTGGGCTCATGAGTCTTATCGACATGTCTGTCCGGATATGCCCCCTCCACCTGTTGTTGGATGCACAGTGGTGGGGCCTGTCTGGAAATTCTATATAATATATAGCGTTTCTTGTGCTGTTGGGAGGTTAACTGAAGTGGTATGCTAAATTATGCTTATTGCTTTGTATTTCTATTTGAACTGACAACTGCAGCATATCCGGGGTCCTATTCGCGAACTCGAGGGGAGAGCAACAAGCCGACAACGCATGCTTGAACTTGTCATCACCCTAAACCGTGTTATGCAGCATATCCGCTGGAGTTATGCGCCGCAAATGTTTAATCGCCTTAACTTACATGTCTGACGAGCCGAGTCTCACGCTGGGTCATTTCATGTCCATTCATAGCGTGATTGGCCAGGGTTATGTTGACCGGAGTCTATAGTTTCCTCTAGCTAATTAGCATCGTGCCACTGAATAAGTGTACGGTTGCTTCTCCCTCTAGATACTTGGAACAAGAGCGAATGTCGTAGAACAAGACCACGTAACGAGGAAGGGTCCGTCTACAAGAAGAGATTAGTTGACTGATGTAACTTAATCAGGATAAGAACCACACGAGCATAATATTTTGAGAACCATCTCCCTTATGAAAAGCATAATGTATATAAAGGCTCTTCTTCTCGACCTGCTTGTCCGCACTCCTGATCTTCCTAAGAGCCTGGTTGATTCCGCAAAATTAAGACATAGTATCATATAAAACGATCCAATCCACACAGCACAATACTTGTATCGCTTATATCGCGTTACATCTTCCACGAAAACATTTATGCATTGCATCATCACCCGATGTTCCTTCAATTCTTATCCTAGACGCTAAACTTGCATATCTCAGCGCTCCGGCGCTAGTTTCCGCATTTGGTAGTACTTTGCGAGGTTGCATAGCTAACTAGGGTTTCTATGGTATATTAGTCAGATTGTTCAATCTGCATAACTAATTATTTCTTATTGTGCAGTACGTATCTACTGCTTGTAGTGACTCTTTGGTTAGCCATTTGTGCAAAATCTTCATTTGGCTGGGTTTTGTGTCGTTCATGCTTGATTTGGGTATGGGTATGGCTGCATGTATGTTTGTAGGTTTGGGTTAACATTGAGGTGATTTGTGGTTAGCTGCTTTTGTGTAGTCGTAACTACATGCAGGAGCTGATATGTCAAGTTAGAGTGAGTATGACCATGGAGCGAGTAAGCACGGCTAGCTCGGGACGGTATAAAAGGGGGAAGGGTTTCTTCTTACGAGAAAAGTACTCGGTTGTAATATGGCTAGTCCTGCATCCTTTCTAGGTTCTATTTTGGTGTGGTGTGGTACGGTATGACAAGGTGGATAGGTAGTAGAGCTAGTAGGAATGGAAAGATCATTGTGTCATTGCCGCATAGTATATAGCCCTTCTAGTCTACATACTTATCTTGAGGTGTTTGACTTGCAGAGGGCTAGGCTCACGCAACAGACGTCGAAGCTGAAGCCAGCTTGTGAAGCGGAAAGTTCCTAGGGTCACTGTCCTTGTTGTAAGTATTCGCGGCTTTCCACCGACGGCGTAGGAGCGTAAATACAATCAAGGAGATAATTGCAATCCCGGCTACGGCAGAGCCGACACTAATTCCTGCGATGGCACCTTTGCTAAGTCCGGAGCTGCCGGAACTACTGCTGGTGGATGTCGCAGCTGAGGTGGAACTGCTTGTAGTTGTGCTGGATGCGCAAATACTTCCGCGCCATTGGTGGAAAGTCCCATCTTGGCCGGCGCAGTCCCTGGGTTTTGTTAGGCTTGGCTGATGCTGGTCTAGTAAGGAAGGGTAGGGGATACGGACGAGAAGATGCAGTCCTGAGTTTGGGTGGCGAAGGAATCCGAGTCACAATAGCACGCTGTGTTGTTGCTGGGTGTTGGAGTTAGCTTTCTGTGGGTGGAGGAGGTAGAAAGTTGTGGGTACATACTAGCTGCTGGACGAACAAACGCCACCTACAGTGTCGGCGGCAGTAGACTGGCATTCAAGGATGCAGCTACTCAGGGTTATGGTCGAGGTCGAAGCAGCTGCAGTTGCGGTGGTTGTAGCAGAAGAGCCTCCACACTGTGAACCACGATAGGTGTGGAAGGATCCGATATCATTCGAGCAGCTCCTTGTCTGTGTTAGCATATGCATGCGGTCATACTTAGCGTAGTATTTCCATACTTTTCTAGGCAAGATTGCACATAAATGGGAAAGTCACCGTTGTTGCAGTAGCAGCTGGTCTGATTGCTGTGGATTGATAATGAGATACTTGCTTTCCCAGAAGCGAATATAAACGTATCAACCTACTAGTTGCTGGTGCTGCAGTCGCTTGCTGCAGCCTCGGCTTGGCAGTTGAGGATGCACTCACTCAAGCTAGACACTGTCAGTATAGTCACAGCGTTTCCTGTTGCAACTTGTTTATGCTCACCCATTGACCGTTGAGACAGCCCCGAGGAGTAGAAGAGGGATAGTCAACTTCATAATGAGGGATACGGTGTGGACTACCTCGGACACTTTCACTTGAAGGAATACCCAAGTGTCTGAAAAAGACTAAACAAGGTTATAAACTCAATGAGCACCTTGGCCAGCCTATGCCTTTGTCAAAGATGAGGAGAAAAACGGTAATCAGGAAGTTGTTCGAAGTAATGTGCTCTGATACCCAGTTCCAAGTCGTCCAGAGGCCGCTATATAGTGCTCATTCTCGGAAAGAGCAATCCGGAAGCGAATTAATCGTGGAGCTCCATCTCGCACCCCCTCATCTCTACAGCCAATGTCAATTGACATCGTATATTGCATCCAAGACACGGGTCAAGAATCAAATTCTGGGCATCCGTCATGTGCTGCACAGCTGTACGGAGAAGGGAGATGCCATTGAGAGTGGTGTGAGCCCGTAAATTTCGCAACCGAGATATGGAAGGACCAACTTCGGTTGCAGGGGTATCCTACATGCAAATAGATGTGGTTGGATGGATTAGGAGGGATGCCAAGCGCAGGATGATAGTACTTCAGAGCTGAGTGGGACTGGCGAGCCAACCCACGAGACACCTGGATCAGATAAGATAAATCAGCTGCTTAAATTGCTCCGGAACATCAACTCCGATGCACGGTCAGCATTGAGTACCCTTATAGGGAACCACTAAATCCACGGATTGCTGCCGGTCGTTCCGATTCAGCCAACAACGTCCCCCACGACCGAGTGGGTCAATGACACCCGGGTTGCTGTATCCTGCCGACTGAGGTTGGCATCCGATGCATTGTACCCTTGATATCGTTATCTCCGAGGCCCGAATCTGCTTCCCGGTTCTTGGATGGGACCGCGAGAGACCGAACGGACCATACCCGGCTAGTCCGCGGGCATAATGCCTGTTGGCTGTCTTATGTGCCGTGATGCCACATCAAGTGACATGCTCATACCTATGGCCGAATTATACAATACTCCCAATATTTCGATGTCACTAATGTCGAAGCGTTTACTCAAATTTCCCCTTCCATGCCTTTAGTCTCAGCTGTGTGAAGTGGAGACCGCGTCATCCCGGGATTCTGCCCCTGAGAGACCCAAATCCCATCTACTTCATAAGGAACTTGGCATGACTTCTATGCCAACGGGAACTCTCTTCCCTGATATATTGCCTTAGGCATCGAAGTGGTGGATATTCGACAGACATGAAGTTCGATATCAAGCGGCTAGCTTGGGCTTTATTGCCGTGGACGGTGGCATCCAGCCCGTTCCCAGCCGAAGAACGACATTCTGTGCCAGATGGCTCTACTCATGCCAGCTACATCTTCAATGCTTTGCATAACTCCATGAAGATGTTCGGCAGCGTCATGCAGCACAATGGCATGTCCGTCTTCATTGCCACGGTACCTCAAGGAACGGAGTTCTACCACGGTACCTCGAGTGCATATCGTATCAATGGCACTGAGTGGTTAGCTTTTGAACCGGAGCATGCCATGGTTTTTGCCCATCCTGGTAGGACTCGTCGTTCAGGTCCCTCCGAAGCTACCAACCAGCCACATGACGATGAGGAACAGAGCAATATGGAGAAAACATATGATCATCGTTGGACGGAGACGGTGGAGCATGAAAGTGACCTTGAAACGGAAACCGGCAGCTGGGTAAAGGATCATGCCCGGCACCGCGAACATGTGAGCACATATCGTGCGGATTCTCGCAGTAAACACTGGGCGGAGCCGGTTCAGCATAAATCTGACTTTGGACCGGAGAACGACGGCTGGGTACAAGACCATGCCAGGCATCGCGAACATCTAAAGCCATATTATGCAGGCTCTCGCGATAAGCACCGGAAAGAGTCGGTTCACCAGCAAAGTGGCTCTGATTCAGACAACAACGACTGGACACAGGATCATGCCCAGCACCGCGAACACGTGAAGCCTTATCATGCAGATTTCCGCGGTCACACAAAGCATCACAATGCTGACATGGCTGTTGGAAGCACGCCTCACCATGGCCTCTTCACTCGCCAATGGAAGAGACTGCAGTCAGTTGTTCAGTATTTCCTAACTTCGCACGAGGAATCTCACAGAGTAGTGGTTGAAGGATCCGACTCGCAAGCTCGTCATGGATCTTACGATGGTCACCATAACAAGCCTGGCCACCAGAGTCAGTCAAACATTGGGGAGCATTATGACCAGTCATCTTTCATTTCCGCCGAACCCACGGCAGCAGAACAGACGGGATATTTCCACACCTATCGCACTAAGCGTGAACTACGTTTCGTGTACTTTGATGGACAGTCGGCTGCAAAATCTCTCAAGGGTACCCTCGATATGCAGGACATTGTCCTCCGAAACGCAACCCTCTTTGATGGCAGCCCGGCA